CCTAGATCTCTGTCATCAGATTTGGAGGAAGAAACTTGGCTAGTTCTTTACCACCGGTCTAGCATGGACCTCATGCTCACCGACAGAGCCGTCGTGGTGTTCTGCGGCGCTTTCTCCAGTTAAGTTAGAGTTAGGTTCCGGCAGGTTGTGTTTGGTTTCGTGATGTTTGCATCCCGCAGGGCTGTTGGATTTTGATCGATCCAAGCTAGTACCAGGGGCGAAGCTAGGTAAGTGGTTGTAGGTCTGTTAGTGCTCGATTTTTTTTTACAAAAAAAAGAAGAAAAAAGGAATCTGCTGGTGCGTGAGCACACCATGAGACATATGGTCGCCGTGCACCTATCGATCGAGCACACCGCAAAGACATGGTCAGCGGGCACCCGCGACACACACATGCACACCGCGAGACATGGTCAGCGTGCACCCGACACACACACACAGCTACTCAGCGCCAGCACAGTGCGAGACATGGTCAGCGTGCACCCGCCACACGCGCGCACACTCATTCTGTGCATGCACACAATTTATACTAGTATAAAAATAGCCTAATATAACAGAGCATTTTTTACAGTAATGTACACCCAGCGACACATCACTAAAAGCCCCGTTTAACTATATAGCACCAAGCAGTGGCGGATAGACTGACCTCAGCGAAGTATAGTACCCACACTAGTGGTGGGCATTAGAGCAGCTTACAATGGCGGACACAATGAGATCATCATGCCTGTCACTGGTGTTTTTCCCTTCAGTGGCGGATGAACCGTGTCACCAACCCGCCACTATAAATTATCTGTCACAACTTAGGCCTTGTTTCACCCTAAAAGATATAAATTCCTCTCTCACCCCAGCGCGACCCTAGCCCGCAGCCTTTTCTCTTCTCTTAGCCACCTCCCTCTCATCCCATCTCTCTTTTTCTCCCCAGCCCGCTGCCTCTCTCACTGAGCGCCTCTCGCCGGCTCGGCCCACTGCATCCTTCTCCCTCCACTTCCTCTCCATTCACTGTTGTCTCTTCGGTGCAAATTAGAGAGAAAAAGATCAAAATTTCTGCTCATATGTGCACATGAGGTATGTAAAGACGTTCAGTTGAATGTCATAGTTTCAGAACCTCAGTCTCCAAAATTACTCTCATCCATTATGTTTATGTCTTATTTTATCAAGTTTCCAAGAATAGCTGCATCATTTCATTAATTAATTTCTAATTTTCAAAGCAACAAAAAGCCATTTCTACAATCCGATGCGCATATCGTGGTCTCTGGTGGCAGAGTACAGTGGCAAGTGTAGACTCGGGCCGTAGGGTGGGCCGAAATCCAATTGAGGTCACAAGGATGGACCGAGGGAAAAAAAATCAAAGAAAATTATACTGTTCACGGTGCTACAATGGTAAGTCGGCAAGCTGGCTGGATCTGCGCGGCCCACCCTCCCGCTGGCTAGACCACCAGTGGTGGAGTATCATAGCATAGGGGAGCAACCAAACAACCCAAGCACATGTTCTGTCATAAATTAACAATTGAATTTGACTTCATGACTAACAAGAAGTTTACAAATTTCACATATCTCGCATCTGCATGTTCAGTCAATAGTTTGGAAACTGAGAATAGCTGGAGAATATATTTCGGCATCAGATAGAGGATGACTTTTCTGCGTTTCTGGAACCATATCAATTCTTTTTTATTCCAAATACCAAACAATATCGATTTGGTACTTGACTTATTTTGATTCGGTGGACGAAACAGGGAATGATAATTTTAGATTAAAGTGAATAGAATATTCTTTTCTTTGAAATCCTAACTGAGTCGCAGGAACTTTGTTTCCCGTCTGACGTGCTTTGGGAATAGAACTGAAGAATTGTTCAGGGTTTAGGAGTACAAAGAATAATAAAAATCCTAGGCCATGTGCATCTGGTGCGGTTAGTAGCTTAACTATGTCCCAACCAGAGCACCAGCAAGTTTGCAGCTGAATGTTTCCGGTCAAGACCTGCCGCGCGTCGTACAATGGACCATAAAACAATGAGTAAAGCAAATCACAGGAGTTTTGCCCAATGAAGCAGGAAATGCAGTGTACTACAAGTCTGTCCTCTAATGCTAATAGCCGCGGAGTTGGCTTCAAGGGAAAAAAAAAATTACAACAGGAAAGTGTGCGCCAACTCTGTCACCTCTTGTTATTCCTTTCATTATTCGATCGAAGTTGGTGCTTAGAGGTTCAGATAGATTACAAGCAACAAAAATTGGCTTTTGCTAAAAACAAGAATCAATCGAGAACAATTATTGTGAAAAAGGACTGAAATCACCAAGCAATAAGAGGCATTCTCACTTTTTTTTTTTTTTTTTTTTTTTTTTGGTTGAATAAAGGCATTCTCACTACTGGATGGGAATGGAATCGAGTTCGGTGTCAGCTTCTTGGGCAGGCTTCTGACGGGCCCAGAAATTGGAGACGCCCTCCTCTGCCGACAGCTCCTCCAATACACACAAGGCGATCATGACGGTCGCTACCACAGCAGCAACTGGAACCCCAACCATCCATCCATTGGGCACAATTACGCACGAGGTTGAGATGATGAGCAAGGCGGTGGAAAGAACCGTGCTTAACCTCGCACAGAATGCAGAGAACCTTCGACGTCTGCTAAAGGGGACGGGTCGAGGCACGGCTGTCATGAGGCCAAAGCCCAATGATGAGATGGCCATGGCCGTCGTGACGCCAAACGCCACCTTCGGTGCAGTCCCCCATCTGCCCATGAGCTCTTTGATTTCAGCAAAGACCCCCACCGTGGCAGTAGCTCCATATGCAATGAGACCCATGTCCAGAGCGGACGAACGCTGAAAAAAAAAAAGGCAAGTAGCATTTGCCCCAGGAGTAGTTCCTAAATCCGAAATAGGCAAAATACCAGTTCAAACTAGACATACCTCAGCGTCGTTCACGCGTGGAGGAGGAGGAGGAGGAGGAGGAGAGCCGGAGTGGGGCTGGTGCGGAGGAGGAAAACCGGAGGGCCCGACGGGAGGCGAGCCCCCGTGCCCTTGGCTGTAGCTGGGCGGGGTACTAGAACCGACGGAGGGGCCAGGGCTGCCTTCGGCTGAGTGGTAAATCGATGACGACGAGCCCGAAGAGGAGATGAAAGGAGCATGGCCACGGCCGAATCGCAGGTTTGAAGCTGAAGCTGACCTGACCGAGGCCCGTGGCTCTCCCTGACCAAGGCCGACGTCATGGAGGCTGGAAACGGCGTCCTTGGTCGTCGTCGTCCCGCCGCCAGCGTCCGGCGAGGGCGGGTCGTCGAACACGTCGATGCTGAGCACGGAGCAGGGGTCGTACACCGGCCACGCGTATTGCTCGTTCCAGGCCGGGTCGAACCTGTCGGCGACGGTGCGCGTGCGGGCCCACTTGGGCCCGTACTTGGCCACGTCGTACGCGTCGGCGGCGCATCCTTTGCCGTCGAGCCCGCTGACGGGCACGGTGGCGTTGGGCGGGAGGTCCCACGCGGCGAGGGTATCGACGCCGGCCACCGCCGGCGGGAAGGAGAACTCGAGCGCCGGGTTCAGGTCCCGCACCACCGTGCGCGTCTTGCGCCTGTGCCCGTCGAAGTCGGCGCGCGCGTACGGGCTCGACGTGCCCGTCATGTCCTTGGGGAGCGGGTTCCGCGCCTCCACCACCTCCACCACCGGCTTCCTCGCCGCCATCGCCGCCGATGGAGCCAGCTAGCTATAGTGAGGGCGTGTCAGTGTTTGTGTGCGTCGCCACACGCGCGTGCTCAAGACTCCAAAGCGCAGTATATATAGTGTGATAAATAGAGAATAACAGTACGGTTTTCGAAATGTTAGGTCGGTGATGCTTAATTCCTTGCTTTCCTTTGGTTACGTGAAGATGTCAAAGTAAAGGTGTCGAGTAAAGGGGTTTATCTTCATGTGCTACATTCCTCTGTTGTCGGTGGCCCCTCGGTACAAGAGAACTTTTCCTGTGCTTCACGTCTCTAATCTGAATTCTAAAGCCACGTTTTGCCACTTGTTGTTTCCATAATAGGATTAATTGTATAATAAAGTGACAAATGAACTTAGTATCTTTGTTTTCTTGTGCCACACAAACAAAAATCATGATGCGCTGTCGTTAGACTTGGAGTTTCATTCGCCCGGCCCTAGTCTTGGTCAAATCCTGGGTCTGCCACTGTGTTATGCTACATTCAAATAAGGATTAATCTTTACTTTTTTTTAACCATTTGAAATGTAACATCCTTCTAACGACAGAGCTCGAGTAATTCCCTACGAAACAAGTAATTCCAGTTGAACATAGCTCGAGCCTTAATCATGCACCAAGCATTGTTTTTACTATGGAAACGCATATACCAAGCGTTGTAAGTTGGCAAATGAACCAATGTCACAAAACAACATTCCCTACTGGGAATCTGGAATCTACCAAGCAAAAACTTTGCCACCTTTTCCCCTTGACACCCCTTAAAGCTAAGGTGAGGATCGACAAGGCGACGCATTTTGACAGCTCGATCAAGATTCCATTTCCCCTTCTAATCATTCTGAGTGTGAAACGAGCAAAACTCGAAAGCGCAGTATAGTATGATAAATAGAGAATAACACGGGTTTCGAAATGTTAGGTGGAATAATTGTCGGTGGCGCTTAATTCCTTGCTTAACTTTGGCTAAGAGCAGGTTTAATGGATTCGCCCGCTGCCGGCGACGAGACGCGCCAGCTCACTCGATCAAGAATAGCTATGATGGCGGGCCCAACTAGGATTTAGTGCTCTCTTTGCTCCAGCAGCAGCACACAGCAAATGGGAGACGAACGAGCAATGAAGGCGGTCCCACAAAGGGTCATCAGCCGGCTTCGTGCTGGCGCTTCCCAACTCGCCGGCTTTCGTCTCTCTCCTGATTTCTCTCTCCCCCACGTCGGATAGTGCTGATGTGTATTCTCATTTCGCCGGCACAGTCACCTCCATTATACTTGCTCTAAGTGAAGACATAGATAGTTAAATGACGTAGACATAGATGCAAAGTGTAGGATGTGAAAGAGGTCTTGGTCTAGTGGTTAAGACACCCAAGTAATACCTTTGAGGTTCTGGGTTCGACTCCCGGTGAGAACGAATTTTCTAGGATTTAACGGCATTTATGCTTTCAGCGATAGGCGACGTGGTCGTCGACAGCGAAGCGCCAGTGTTGACTTCGGGAATTTGGTGAATTTACCGGCTCAGTCTTCAAAGATGCTCATAGGGGTAGGGTTTGCGTATGTGCGTTCATAAAGGTGAGTGTGCGTGCGTTATGAGTGTCTAAGTTGTACTGTGTAATCTCAAAAAAAAAATGCAAAGTGTAGGATGTGGAGTAAAGCTGCTTATCTTCATGTGCAAGCATATTCTCAAGATTAAATGTGCGCATTTAATTAACCAGTCCTATATTCTTTCTCAGGAAAATATGTTTAAAACTATTGTACGCTTTATCCAATCTGGTTTGTGCTTAGCGCATTGAAGAGGCATGCATGTCCAGTTTTCACTTCATTCTATTTGTTTTTTCTTTTCTTTTTTGACTCGTACATTTGAAATCTAGCACAAGCTGCGACAGAGAAAATAACTTCTGCTACAAAGTTGCTTCCAGAGGCATGCATGTCCAGTTTTCACTTCATTCTATTTGTTGTGTATGATATACTAGTATACTACACTCAAATCAGGATTAACCTTTATTTTTCTTCTCCCTACCAAACAAGTAATTCCAGTTCAACAGAGAGAGCCTCAATCATACACCAAGCATTGTTTTCGGTATGGAAACGCATATACCAAGCGTTTTAAGTTGGCAAATGAACCAAAGTGACAAAACAACATTCTCCACCTTAAAGCAAATACATTGCCACCTTTTCCCCTGGACACACCTTAAAGCTACGATGAGGATCGACAAGGCGACGCATTTTAACAGCTCGATCAAGATTCCATGTCCCCTTCGTGTAATTCTAAGTGTGAAACAAGCAAGCGAACTCCTTTGCATGCCTTTCCGGTCGTTTATGTTCGCCGGCAAGATCAGGGATGGCGAAAGCAAGAATGAGTCACAAAAGCCGGAAAGCGTGGGTAAAAGGCGAAGGCCAATCCGTGCCGACCTTTTCATTTCCGTTGTTCCCACCCAGCCGCGCACGGCGCACACCTGCTCCTCACATGACATGCACGTGACCTTCTTTTCATTTCACCGTGGAAATGTTTGCCCCAAATCGACTAGCATGCTACAATGTTGCCATGGTTCAGTGATTTTCTTAGGATATGTTCGATGCACATAAACTTTGCAGGAGTTCAGAGAGTATATGGAGCTGAATCCATGTATAGTTGTGCCAAACATGGCCAGATGGCCTTGTATAGTTGTGCCAAACATATCATGCACCGCTTTATCTTTTGAATATTATGGTGGAAGGAATTTCAGAAAGTGAACTTCAAGATTTTTTTTTTATTATTATAGAAGTTGAAGTCATGCACATAGCCTGTATATTGTTTTTGTTTGCAACGGTATGATCATACTACCATGTTGCACAAGATGGCCGACCCAAAAGTATGAGCTGCAAAGTTCTACCAGATTCAGAATAGGCAGCAGCAAAGAAACCGGTTTGACAAAGGTAAAGATAGATACCATCAGGATGCAAGATTATGGTGTTAAGAGTATAGTATCTTATTAGGATTCTACTAGCAGTGTGTCCGTGCATTGTAACGGACTAAAAAGATGATATTATAATTTTCATACTCACAAAAAATAAAGTATTTTTCTATAGTACTTGTTTCAGAGGCATTGTGATTTGGAGTTACATATGACATTGTTTTCTATTTTTTTACCACAATTTAACTTTTGGAATTGATATTTTTATAACAATATAATTTCTAGGTTCAAAAAGTGATCAAATGTTTATTGTAGTAATAACCGATATTAAAAACTTTTCTTTTCCTTTTTCTTTTTCATTTTCTTTCTTGTCACTTTTTTTTACTGTAGCAAGATTGACCGTCTGTTTTTTCTGCAAAATATGTGCGTACACTTGAATCTTTTGTATCATTAGATCTATCATACAACATACATTATTAGCATTATATAATTTTGCACATCTTTGTAATTTTTTAAGAAAAAACCATGCGGTAAAAATTGCTACAGTGAAAACCAGTGATAAGTAAAAAAAAATTGGAGGAAGTATTTGTTTGCATCATCTTCTCCCGTGAACATGTCCCGATCCCATGTCTCTCTCTCTCTTCTCGAATCGGCCATGGCAGCCGCCAGTCCGTTCCTCCGCAATATGGCCAGTACCAGCCCATTCTCCTCTATGTTCGGCGGCGCCAAACTCGTTCAACACCCACACCTAAAATCCTGGCAAGATTTTCCTTGATTTAAAGCTTCTCCCAAATCAATGGGGCATCGTAGGCTCGTGATTGTCCTCCTGCCTCTTCGCCCCATTGCGCAGGCAACCAGGCATACCCACGCAGGCCGTCTTCCGCGTCCTCGGGCTTCTTCGGCGGTGACCTGTTTTCCTCTTTCTCGGGTTCCTGGAGACTGGAGTTCGAACTGTCTGCCCCTCGAATCTGGACCGGGTTGTGGGTGAGTTCTCTGTAGCGTGACTACCGGCGACGAACGTTGGCCACCGGGCGGGGAAGCAGACGCGGGCACCGAGGTGGTGGAGAGGCGGCAGCGGAAGATGAACCGAGGAAGCGGCGGAGGTGAGGGGCGCGGGTGAGTTTGTTAGCAACTCCAACGAAACCCTTATATGCACCTTTATACCAGATTTGAGAGAGAAAGAGAAAAAATTTGTCTCCAACAAACGCCTCATCCCTCTCCTAAGGATGAGAGGGCCTCTCATCCAAGGCCCTGGCACCCTCATCCGTAGGAGCTCCGTCGTGCCCCCTCATCCGAGCTGGTGGGGCCAGCAACCACTTCCCGCGCCAATGCTCGTTCCCGCCACCATGCCGTGCGGCGCAACCCGCCACCATGCCGTGCGGCGCAGCAAGCCAGCAAGGTGACGGCAGGGAGCTCCCATGGCGCCGCCCGCCACCATCTCCAAGCATTAGAGAGAGAGAGTGAGGTCCGCGCGCTGCCGACCCTGGAGACGAGCGACGCGGAGCAGTTCGGCGGCTCTCCACCAAATTGAAGTTCCTCTCCACCAAATCGAAGAGAATTAGTGCTTGTCTGTCAACAAATTGAGGCTGCCTCCTTCAAATCAGCCATAGCTGAGCTCGTCTTCACCATGGCTGACCTCTTTTCACCAAATCGAAGAGGAAAAATGGGGAAACAGGGGAGGCCATAGTGCGGCTCGGTGGGGGTGAGGAATGAGAGAGAGAGAGAGCAGATGGGAAGGACCGAAGGAGAGTTGGGGGAAGAAACCGGGAAGGCCTTGGCTTCGGCATGGGAGCAGAGAACGAGAGCACAGAGGAAAAGAGAGAAGTGGTGGCCGGTGGGGAAGAAAGGAAAGAAAGATAGAGATAATGTAAAATAAGGCTGACATGTCGGGGTGAGTAGAAATAAGAGGCCAGATTTGAGAGGATTGTTAGAGATATGAGAAGAGGAGATAAAAAATAGATGAGAGAGCCCTTATATGATGAAATAAAGAGTCAAATTTGATAGTTTTGTTGGAGATGCTCTTAGAGTATCTCCAGCCAGAGCCCTTAAATCAAGACTCTTACTTTTATTTTACGGGCTGACATGAAAAAATAAAAGTCCAAAAACTTGCTTTAATTTCAGCAGTTGCAGCCCAAAGATCCTATTTCGTGTGGAACCTATTTGTCAGAGTTAAAAAAAATCGATCGTCTTCCTCCCCGCACGGCTCCGCCCTGCCCGTCGCCCCGACCACCGCGCCGCTCGCCGTAGCTCGCCCACCGCTCCGCGCCTGCCCGCCGTAGACCGCCCGCCCGCCGCCCACGACCAGGCCTCCCCCGTCACGGCAGCACCATGCCCAACCCCGTCGCGGCTGTGCCCGCCGCCGCGCCCTGATCTGCTCCGGCACCGCCACGCCTCCTAGACGGCGACGGTGTTCGCGCTGGCAATCAAGCAAGCAAGAAAAAGAGGAGCAAGCTCATACTGCGAAGGTTTGATTTTTTTCCCTCATCCAATTTCTGTAATTCTTGAACTTGTCCTCCTGCTAGCTCCTCCACCTGACAAACAAGACTCTGAAAATGAATGGATGATGAGTGTTGTGTGTCCAATTATCCATTCCATGTCACCTACTAGTGCTGAATGATGATTAGTCGATGGCTATACAGGTCGTCTCTTGCAATTTCCTGCTCGCTTGATTCTTTATGCAGTGTCAAGTGCTAAACTCCTGTGCATACTATGATAGATGGGATAGGCTGTACTCGCCATGAATGGTGATGGAACTCTGAAAAACAATTTCCAACTGCTTAATTCTACTTTCTAGTTTCGTACAGATTACATGATACCTCATTCTTTCCAGCCTGTTCTGCTAGGTTGTGTAGTTGAGAAATTGGTAGTACAAGTGATGAATGTTTTAGCTGTACAAGTATATTATTCATGAATGGAATGAGTATTCTTTCAAATATGGCATTCACACATGTATATTTCTGAAGTGAAGCAAATTCTGGAAATTTAGATGTGTCATTTTTGAAGTGAAGCAAATTCTGGAATTTTGGATGTGTGAGTTCAGACATTTGTTGTACTGCCAGCACTGAAGGCCGGTTTAAAATTTCCATTTGGCCAGTCTTTGGATATTAGTTTCTCAAGTTGTATGGTTTCAACATCTACCTTAGGTTATACTGTCATAACTGAACATCAGTGAGATTCATATATAATGCTTGTGTGTACATTGCTGTTCTTGCCATTGTAACATTTGTACTATACATTTGTTCCTGAAATTTTGAAATTCATTTTGTTCCTATGGCAGACGTCAAGTCCTGAAAGTAGCGATCATCCACTTTGGGATGAAGAGGAAGAGGACGATTCCGATGTTGACGACGTCTTGATCCTTGCCTGTCTTCGTGAGGGCTCGAGGAGAAGGAAGCGCAAGAAGAAGTCTCTTGAAATAAAAGTGCTGATGTATCATCGTATAGCAAACCTTCCAATATTGTAGTTTTTAATTTCTCTGTAATTTAAACTTCTTGAGAATAGTCAGTCCTGTTTGTTAGAC